AGACCCAGAACATCCAAAAGAAGGCCCAAGTCCCCACAGAAGTTTGCATTACTTCACAGCTAGGCCTCATCTGGGTACCTCCAAAACCCAAACAAAGAAGAGGAATCTGCAGATTTCTCCATAGCTCCTGCTGGGTGGCCTCAGGCAGAGGCTAAATTAGCACCTCGTTGGAGATCCAAGAGCCAGTGCACCCAGGGGTCAGAGTGGGACCATCAAGATTACAACTCCTTAGGTCCATAAGGGACACATTCAGAGGGCAGACTCAGTGAGCACCAAAGCTTCACTGAAGCAAGTCTTGTTACATAAGGGTGTCTCCAGCACAGACGTTCTCTCATTGTAGTCACAGCTGATCCTCACAGCCATTTGGCCTGGAGGTCAATTCCTCCCAGTTATACCAATAACAATCAAGGCTTAACTACAATAAGACTGTGCACATAGCCCACAAAGGGGTTCACCAAGAGTGTCCACCTCAGGTAACTGTGGAGGCTGAGCCACTGGGCCCTATAGGACACCTAGCACACAAAGCCACTCTGTCAACACAGGGAAGCAGCCAAAATCTGGAGACAAAGAAACAGGTCACAAATGAAAAAAAATTGGAGAAAAGCAAATGACTGAATATAAAGAACAAAACCATGGTTATAAGGTTTTTCAAGAATTTTCTAGAAAAGGCTGATAAATTTAGAGAGACCGTTGAGGATATAATAAAGGACCAACTAAAAATTAAGCATACACTTACTGAAATAAAAATAATTTACAGAGATCTAACAGCAGACTAGATGATCACAAGAATCAAGTTAAAGATTTGAAATACAAAGAAGCAAAAAAACACCCAACCAGAAAAGCAAAAGGCAAAAAGAATCCAAAAATATGAAGTTAGTATAAGGAGCCTCTGGGACAACTTCAAGCATACCAACATCAGAATTATGGGGGTGCCAGAAGAAGAGAGAGAGAAAGATCCTGAAAACCTATTTGAAGAAATAATGACAGAAAACTTCCCCTACCTGATGAAAAAAATATACTTACAAGTCCAAGAAGTGCATAAAACCCCAAACAAAAGGAATCTAAAGAGGACCACACCAAGACACATCATAATTAAAATGCCAAGAGCAAAAAACAGAGAATCTTAAAAGCAAGAAGAGAAATTACCCAAAAGGCAGCACCCATAGGACTGTCAGCTGACTGCTCAACAGAAACTATGCAGGCCAGATGGGAGTGGCATGAAATATTCAATGTGATGAATAGCAAGAACCTATAACCAAGATTACTCTATCCAGCAAAGCTATCATTCAGAATTGAAGGTCAGATAAAAGCTTTACAGATAAGAAAAAGCTAAATGAGTTCATCAGTGCCAAACCAGGATTATATGAAATGCTGAAAAGTATTCTTTAAGAAGAGGTAGAAGAAGAAAAGGTAAAGATAAAAATTATGAACAACAAATGCATTCTATCAACAAGTGAATCTAAAAATCAAGTGAATAAAAAATCTGATAAACAGAATAAACTGGTGAATATAATAGGACCAGGGGCATGGAAAGAGAATGGACTGACAATTCTCAGGCAGGGGTGGGATGGGATGGGCAGAGATGTGGGGGATGCAGGAAGAGACTGGACAAAAATCATACACCTATGGATGAGGACAGTGGGAGGGAGGTAAGGGCAGAGGCTGGGGTGGGAACAGGGTGAAGGGAGCTATGGGAGGAGGGGAGAAGAGAAACAATTGTAATAATCTGAACAATAAAGATTTGTTAAAGAAAAAAAAAGAAACTATGTAAAGGAGGAAGTGTGGGTGGGTAACACAGAATTATAAATACTGCATTTTATAAACAAGGTATGTCCAACAACCATACTTAGCCTCTTTTGGGAGGGATGAGGCACCTTCAACTTTGTGTCTGTTAGGCCAATTTCATTGGGGCTCCAAAACTGAAGTAACATATGTATCAATATCTTTCTGTAAATAAATAAATAAATAAATAAATACCTTATGCACAGCAAAGAAACCATCAATAAGCCAAGAACATATTTAACATATTTGCCAATGTTATATCTAATAAGGGTTAATCTCCAAAATTTATAGGGAACTCATACAACTTAATAAAAAGAAGATAAATAATCCAATTAAAAAATGGGCAAAGCCGAAACTGATTTGGCTCAGTGGATAGAGCGTCAGCCTGCGGATTCAAGGGTCCCAGGTTCGATTCCAGTCAAGGGCATGTACCTTGGTTGTGGGCAGGAGGCAGCAGTCGATGATTCTCCAGTGGGGAGTGTGCAGGAGGCAGCTGGTCAATGATTCTCTGTCATCGATGTTTCTAACTCTCTATCCCTCTCTCCCTTCCTCTCTGTAAAAAATCAATAAAATACATTTTTTAAAAAAATGGGCAAAGGAACTAAATAGACACCTTTTGAAAGAGGACATACAAAGGCCAAGAGCCATATGAAAACGCTAGAGGCTCGGTGCACAGAATCTAGTACCCATGTTGTCTCTCAGCCTGGCCTGAGCCCTCTTGCAATACAGGACCCCTCAGAGGATGTGCGGCTGCTGGTTTCAGCCCAATGCGCACGGTCATAGGAATGTAGTAGTACCCCGGGGAGGACCCTGTGCCTGCCCTGGGGGATGCGCTGCTCCTGCTCATCCTGGCCCTGCTGTGTGTGCTGCTGCTGCTGCACGATAGTGCTGCTACGAAGGCGGGAGAGGGTCAAAAGGCTGTAGCTGCACTTGCCAAACTTGAGCCTGGAATCTATGCCTGTTGGTCATCTGAGTGTTGTTCCTGTTCCCACTGTGGGAGCACACTGACCATCAGGGGGCAGCTTCTGCACTAAGCATCTTCCCCTTGGTGGTCAGTGTGTATCATAGTTACCGGCCAGTTGTCCAGGCACTTAGGCATATATATATATGCTCAAAGTCACTAATCATCTGAGAGATTAAAACAACAGTGAGATATCATCTCAGAATGGCTATCATCTACAAATGACAAGTGCTAGTGAGAATGCACAACTTACAATAGCTAAGATTTGGAAACAACCTAAGTGCCCATCAGCAGATGACTGAATTAGAAAACTGTGATACATCTACATAATGGAATAGTACACTGTTGTAAAGAAGAAGGAATTCTTACCATTTGCAACAGTATGGATGGACCTGGAGATCATTATGCTAAGCAAAATAAACCAATCGGAGGAAGATAAATATCACATGATCTCACTCATTTGTGGAATATAAAGAAAAACATAAACTGATGAACAAAAATAGATCCAGCCCTAACCGGTTTGGCTAAGTGGTTAGAGCATCAGCCTGTGGACTGAAAGGTCCCAGGTTCGATTCCGGTCAAGGCCATGTACCTTGTTTGTAGGCACATCCCCAGTGTGCTGATCATGTTTCTCTCTCATTACACTTGATCTTAGCCAAAAGGCCGAGAAGCTATATGTTTCTCTCTCATTGATATTTCTCTCTGTCCCTCTCCCTTCCTCTCTGTAAAACATTAATAAAATATATATTAAAATATATCCAGAGATATAGAAGCAATGAACAGACTGTTCAATCTCAGAGGGAAGGCAGGGACAGGGGGATGGGTAGGAGATTAACCAAAGGACTTGTATGCATTTATATAAGTAAAATCCAAGGACATAGACGGTGGGTGAGGGCATGAGCTGGGGTGGGGGGGAGAGGGTGGTAACAGCCTGGGGAGTTCAATAGGGGAAATAGGATACTTATGTAATACTTGAAACAATAAATAATTTAATAAAAATATAAAGATAAAGAAGGTGTTTTACTAGAATCACCTTTTCCCCTTTTAGCACTAATAAGTTCTTATTATTACAGGGAGGGAGCAGTATTGCTGGTTAAAAGGACTTATTTCATTCCTTCTAAAAGGCCAATTAGAGTAAATTTATAGGAGTTACAACAAAAGAATAGGTTAGCTAGAGCCGAAGTTCTTATGTAAAAAAGAAGTGCCTGGCAAATGGCTTAGAATGTCAAACTTCTGTGTTCCTTGTTTCATTTCTTAGTACCTTCATTTTTGATATAACAAGAAAGGCCTCTAAGATCTATCCTATACAAGTCTGCATACTGAGGTTCTATTCTATAAGATGCCCTAGAGAAAACCACCACTAGCTCACTGAACCAGCCTTTCTACCCCTTAACTCGTGATCTCACAGGTGTCCAGCATGTATCACTCTTATTGTCTGGGAGTCTAGAGGAGATGAGTGGAGACCAGTTCTGGCTCTGGGTTGGGAGCGTTCTCAGATGTGTCTCTGAAGGCCTGAGAGGCATGTTGCTGAGGAAGCTTGTGTCAAAACCTAGTCCTTAGAGCAGTGGTTCTCAACCTTTCTAATGCTGCGACCCTTTTTTCTCATGTTGTGGTGACCCCCAACTACAAAATTATTTTCGTTGCTACTTCATGGTTGCCTAAGACCATCAGAAAACACAGATATTTACATTATGATTCATTCACAGTAGTAAAATTATAGTTATGAAGTAGCAACAAAAATAATTTTATGGTTGGGAGTCACCACAACATGAGGAACTGTATTAAAGGGTCGCGGCATTAGAAAGGTTGAGAACCACTGCCTTGGAGTAATATGAAAAGCAAAGGATGGGCCCTAGCCAGGTAGCCCAGTTATTTAGAGCAATTTACTAACAAAGCAAGGTTGCAGGTTTAATTTCAGCTCAGGGCACATACAAGAATCAACTAGTGAGTACTTGGATGGCTGAAGCAGGAAATCTCTCTCTGTCTGTCTCTCTCCTCCCCGATTCCACTTCTCTTTCCCATCCCCCATCTCTAAAATCAATAAATAAAAATTTTAAAAAGCAAAGGATAATTTTTTATGCCCTGATAAGAGTAGAAATTCACATCTAGTTTTATGCAGCGCTGCACCAAAGTTGTTCTCAAAGCTTTCTCCTGTACTTGTAAATATAGTGATGAACACATTGATAATAGACATGTTAGCTAGTATATATTGTCGCATGTAACACATAGATCATAACATCTTTTTCTTTATCTGCAGCAAAACCAAGGCAAGTGCCCAGCCCAGAATTGCTCAGTGGAAGCTCCTGCTTGGATGCCTGTCCACCACTGTACTGTAAGTGTGATTAACCTGATTATTCCAAGACCGGCCAGGTTGAAGAGGATTTCTTTATATATTTTGATATAACCTTAGTGGAAGTGGCTACAGTGTTCTCTGAAATTCTAGAATAGAGTAAACCCTTTGAGAGTATCTTTTCAGAAATTCCTGCATTATAGGAAAGAAAAATCTTTGATTACAGAGTCTATGCATTTTTTTTTGGACTTGGGATAACTTGCAAAGGATTTATCTGAATGGGTTATCGATGATTTAGACTTGGAGAGCCATTAAAATGAATATATTTGCATGTATATTTTTCTCAATAGCTGCATATTCAGTAATACTTGATTTTAGATGCCTTAGGATAAGGATGGTTTCCCTTTTGTCATTATTGTGTTGACTGTTTAATAGCGATGAGTGCATAGATTGACAATTTTCAAGTCCTGGTAGAATAATAGTCTCTGACTTTGTTTGAACTCTTTCAGCAAATGTTTTTCAAGTGCTTTAGAAACAAACAGGTATTATGCCATTATTTCTCTGTTTTGAGTGGGAGATTTAAATGCAAGGGAAATAAGAACAGTGACTCATTTATAAAGCTGGGAATGGATCCCAGATTCTCCTTCATGAACTCCTCCTACTACACTGTGCTCGTAAGTTAGTGGAGAAAGTGGCTGATTTGTATTATATTCTCTTAGATGTACGGTGTCTGATAGAAATGACAATCGATCATTTGGGAACTGCTTGTACTGTCACTGAAATAATTTTTGTGTGATGAGGATAAGAAGTCAGAAAGTACCGAGACCAATTTGGCTCAGTGGGTAGAGCATCGGTTTGCAGATTGTGGGGTCCTGGGTTCAATTCCGGTCAAGAGTGTGTACCTTGGTTGTGGGCACATTCCCCGGTAGGGGGTGTGCAGGAGGAAGCTAGTCGATGTTTCTTTCTCATCGGTGTTTCTAGCTCTCTATCCCTCTCCCTTCCTCTCTGTGAAAAATTAATAAAATATATTTTAAAAAAAGAAGTCAGAAAGTTACTTTTGGGCCTTCCCCTCATTTACTTTACCTCACAGGCAATGTGATGTGATACATGGGACTCTGCTGATGCCAGAGAAAAGACGAGTGTTAATAATTCTATTTTTTCATCAATCACTCTGTTCAGTATATCTCTGATATAATCTCACAAGCATTGATATTATCTCACAATTCATAAGTCTGTTTCTCTAAGGAGACCATGTGCTCGTCAGGGCCCTATTATACCTACTTTGGGTAAGTCCCTGTACATAATAGGAGCTCTGTCAGTGCAGGTTCAATGAATGAATTTTCAATCTGTTGATTACCTTTTTAGTACATTTTAGTAAGTTATTTCTTGATGAAGAGGAATGATTACGCTATTTTACCTTTTTAAATGGGTGGTTTCCATTTCTCACCTTCAAGGGTCCTTTCATACTTTATTCTTCACTGTGTACCATTGAATATGTATTTCGAGGAATTTTGTTTTCAAACTAGGTACATTTAGTAATTCAGTTCAACTGTATAAGATTCTATGCCAGTTGCTGAAGCAGCAAAGAAAAATAAGAGAGTGTTACCATTTTATCAAACACATCCAGGTGTCATACCAGTAAGAATATCTGATTTGTGCCTCCAGTAATAATTTCCACTCCAAATAAAATAAATTTGGCACTTCATTTACTTTGTCTAGTCTTATTACAAGCCTATCCAACATTAGAATTCTGTCTTTTGAATTATTGAAAAATAAATCTTCATATTACGTTGAGTTGGATCCTTTAGAGTCTGGGAGTCCCAGGCTAGTTCTTCCTCTTTAAGGACTAAACAGATGCCTACATTTAAGACCCTGGCTAAAGATCACAAGTCCGAAATGCTGACATTCATGCCTGATGCTCAGTTGTGTGGTCCCATGAGAGCATCAGGAGCTACTAGGTGTTTTTTTCTTGCTTCTGCTCTGGAACTGGGAGCTGCTGGCTGCATAGTTTTCCTTTGCCATTTTCTTTAGTAATTACATCTCCAATGGGGCAGATGCATTCTGGAGGAGTTACACAGCCATAATGATTGTGCTTTCTCTGTGAGTAACCCCGATCCATAGGCAAGGCTCCCAGTGGTCATGTTTAGGTTATGAATCTGCCTCTGTCCTGACTGACGGCTTTAGGGGTAGACTGACTGATCCCAGCTGGGCGGGTTGAATTGTTTTTCCTGAGAATTTTAAATTTATGCTAGAGTGATACCAAATTGGAAGTCATTCTTATTGAATCACAGTGTGGGAAAATTCTGTGGCCCTCCGTTGTTGAGATCTCAGGAGATGCCTTATTTCAACCTTTCTGAGGTTTTGTTTACTCAAATCTCTCTTTGGTTTTGAAAAAGGTCTCAATAACCTGTTGATAAACAATAACTTACTTTTTGTTATTGTTTTTATCCAGATTTTCTTTTATTTTGTTTGTTCGAGGGAGTTTAATATTCTTTGATTTATTGGCAACCAAAGAGAAAAGAAAAAAACTCTGATTAATATCCATAATCAGCAACATTTATGGAATGCCCACTGGAGCTAATGTATGAGTAGTTGTCCCAGGCAGAAAAAAACACTGCAAACACTGGGATTTTGATAATTTATAACAGTGTATTTTTTTCCAAACATCTGATTATATACAATGCTTAGGGACATACAAACAACAAAAGAATAATTTAATAATGACTTAACCCACATAATAGAATGAAAATTATGTATAGGTAACTACATAGTTAGCATAAGCATATTTATGCAACAAAAAGTAACATGATATATAAATTAGTTGTGGTATTGAGTTAATTTTTTCTTCTCTCAGGAAATAAAGAATATCTTAGCCTCATGTGGTTAAGAGTAGGTCTTGTCTGTCTTAAGTTTTCCATCGACTGAAGCAGGTTATAAATAAATTAACACATACTTACATTATGATCTTTGTGCATTTTTTGAGTTCAGTTGATTTTTTTCTTTTCATTCCTTTCCTCCGTGCCCTATTCTTGTTCCTTGGTGTTATGTTCCAAAATGATCGTATCTTTAATTGAGCTTTATTACTTTTACGGAGAAGGCTTGGTCTTTGTGTGTGCATTTGCCCAAGGTTCATTTTAACTGCAGAGCTTTTATGGTTGGTTTTCCTAAGAAGGTTCTCTCTTCCAAATTGCTTTGCAAATGCCTGTCACCATTTAAATTATGCCTTGAAAATGGCTTCTATTACTATTTGCTCAGTCTCCTCTGGATGCTTCTTGTTTTTTTTTGACACCCCATATCTCTATAATAATGAGACCAAGCGGTATTTTTAAAGACTTTTCATTTTCGCCAGAACTATAATGCACAGATCAGGGTTCAAATTGAAGAGAGATTTTGCCCCCAGTAACTATACATAATGTTACTTTCTAACTAGTTATAAATGAGATATCTTCCCTAGTGAGAAGTGTGACAGTTTTAGTAATTATTGATCTCTCCTTCTATGGCTATAGAAGCACTAGAATGATGCCTTTCCTTACCTTTACACTAAATTAAATAGGATTGCATGCCTCATTAGTTTGTATGACCATGAATATGAACACAGTGGTTACTGGAACTCCTGACACTTGTAAACAAATGAGAAGAGACCCATAGATTCTGAGTCTCAGGTGAAGACTGGCAGGTCTCGGAATCTGGAGTGAACTACGTTAAGAGTTTGTTCCTAGAAATAGACAATCTTAGACTTGACCAGCTGCAGGAGGCTTGAGTGGCTGCTATATTTCAGGGCCTGTCTCTAGAACACTTGGTATGTCTCTGGCTTGTACATAATCCTTAGTTACAGGCAGTACCTAGAAATGGCTGTCATGTGTGATTTTACATACACATGATTTAAAAAAAAATTGCCTGTACATGTGCACATCCCTCAGTGGCTGGAAATTAGGAAAATAATGTTTTGAGAGGAGTTTCTAAAAGCGAAGTTTAAAATAAACTCTCTGATGAAGCTTGTCACAATATGATTTTACCTACATATCTCTGTTGTTACATAAGATTCATCCATAAGTATATCTGTGAAATATTTTGAAAATCATATAAGCTTCGACGCAGTAGAATGCCACACTCTGAATACATCTACTCTCATTTCATTCAAGAAATATTTACCGAGCACATTTTGTAAGTTGTGACTGACACTTGGATTGCTCAAGGTGTACAGGAAAAAAACATCAATAATTATTATCCTGGGTGATATATGCTTCAATGGTGGTCTGTACAAGAAGCTATACATTTTCAGAATGTAGAGTTTCCTCAAGATGGATTTTTGAAGACAAAAGAGGCAATATTAGGCAATAGTTAAGTAGGTAAGCTTTAGTATTGAATAAGATTTGCATAAATAGGTGATCTCCACCACTGACTAACTGTATGAATTTGCAGTTTACTTAATCTCTGAGTTTATGCATGCAGTGGGATATTTTGAGATTTACATTAGATAATTCATAGCCCAGGCTAATATAGTATCTGGAGGCAGCAATTGCTTGATAAGTGGTAAGAGGAAAGAAAATAAAAGATTATTCCAGATGGAACTAAATGGGGCACAATGAATTGGTAAGGGAGAGCATAAAACACACACACACACACACACATACACACACACACACACACACACACACACACACACACTCTGGCAATAACTTGTTAATTTATGGCGATTTATTTAGGAGGGTCCTTTCTTCAGAAAGGGATTCAGTAGGGATTCCAGGAGTTAATATACAACAACTCTTTAAGACTTTGAATGCAGAAATATCAAAACTATTGAAAAGAAAGATTTTGCTCTGACGGGCAGGCGGGAACTAATGATATTAACAAGAGGCATTTGTATTCTGAGTAACACGAGGCCATTTTCGAGGAATGGGCCTGGTTACACCTTCTAATTTAAAAAACATTTTAACATTTCCTTACTATGTCTTTCCAGATGATGAAAGCAATTTTTCTTTTTTTTTATGGCAAATCAATAAAAGCAGGTGCTTCTCTAAGAAACCAGAGGAGATGTTCTT